CCCTATTGATTATAAGCGACTAACTCTACAACCAAGAGTATATAACCCCCCAGGGGGTTATACACTCTTGCTACAAGTACAACTTTGGTATAATATAACCCAATACTAGTTCAGAACTAGTAGTATTAGATAAACCTTGTTATAGTTCACACATATTGTTAGATTGACAGCATGAAACAATGTGGAGGACACTGTGTTCGGAAACAGTGACCTTACTACAACCTTCCGCGGTTGGTAGAGCCCCGGTCCCACCGCGGAAGGCTGAAGTAAGGTCACTGTTTTCGAACACAGTGTCCTCCACCTTGTTTCATGCTGTCAATCTAACAATTGCGTCATGTACAACCTTACACCAGTTACAAGTCATCAGTCTGACATCAGTTTTCACGGAGACCGCTAGTAAGTGTAGTAGACTATCGCCTCGGCATGACGGCTGGCGTGCAGCGGAGTAGAGGATCGAGGAGCGAGTAGCTGTTATCGAACACGGCTGCAACTACCGGTAACTGTTAATTCTGCGTCATCCATCCCACTACAAAATCATTGTACTGTATAAGTATACAATAGTAGTAATACTAACACTATGCCAAAGCCGCCGCGGACTGGGTTCAAGGGAGTACGCAACGAGTGCCGCTCCGGAAACAGGAACGTTATCTTGGGAAGTTGAGATGCGTCGTCCATCCCACAAATTGGTGTTGTGAACAAAACCGTTCTCAAGTAAAGGCCTTTACGTACTCCCTTGAACCCAGTCCGCGGCTTTGGAATAGTGTTAGTTTTGTTATACAATCATGTAGATTGAGTATACTAGTACCATGTAGTGGCATGGATGACGCGGAAGTTGTAGCCCTGTTCGACAACAGCTGTAAACAGCTGCTCGCTCCTCGATCCTCTACTCTAGTACTACTACTGTCGTGGTCCCTCGGGTACATGGAAATCCGGGGTCGGTGCCCTCACTCAGCGGGTACAGAAGTAGATCTACATGTGCCTACAGTAAAAACCTGTAACTAAAGACCACCGTGACTAACGACCAGCCTGGTACTACAGACCACTTCGCTACATACCGACGTCACAGTTCTATGATTGTACTTTGTAGCAATGACACGTGGCCAGGTAAATGTACAGTCATGTACATGTATGTAGCACTTAGTGCTAAAGAGTAAAGCCTAAAGGTGTTAGTACATAGTAGTAATATTATAGCAGCACCCCGCCAGCGTTGCCTGGCCGAACGTGGCATGCGGGTGAAGCAAGTATACTTGCTTCACCCGGCCGGGCCGGCCGCGGGTGAAGCAAGTACATGAACAGCACACGTGCTCAGCACGTGGTGGTGGCTACACGATTCGCACCCTTCCGGTGCTCAGTGCTTCTGTGGCTGCTTCCGCTAGCTACACGATTCGCACGCTTCGCGTGGTCTGTGCTTCTGCGGCCGCTAGCTACCTACACTGTTCGCACGCTTCGCGTGCTCAGGGTGACACACAAACAAACACACGTCACAGGTGCCTCTTCTTTATAAGTAAAGATATACCGGTATAGTACTGTTGGCTTGAAATTGTTAACAGATGCGTTGACCTCATAGCTCATGCAATGAGTGATATGCGAACTGCCATTTCTATTATTATTACTTATTAGTAGTACTGTTACGTGTCTACACAATCACACAGTCATGTGACACCGGTACAATGACTATGTACAAGGTTGCACCTCATCATGATCACTGTAATCACTAATCTGTAGGCTAAGGCCAAGTAAAAAAATGATTGTTTATCGTCCGCGCCCAGCCCCAAATTTTCACCCTCCCGGCCGAATTATTTTATTTTTTAGTACTGGTAAAGTACTGCATGAACTGCGGTCTACGGCCTCTAATCAGCATGGCCATAGATTTTTGAAGGTGAGGTCCACAGACTGAACCAAAGCTTAGTTGCTATGGGCTTGAAAAATGAATCTGATTATCAGCTGCCTCATTTCCTTCGTCTGTTTGAAATTCACGTCGCGTACGTTTCTTCCATAGCGATCTCCAGTATTCTAAAAGAAAACTTCTAAAATCATTTCTCCGGATTCGTGTAAGTACATGTAGCTGCCTCGGCTGGGCATGCTTCATACATGGCTTGTATGCATTTACCTGACTACATCGCTACCAACGTCCTTTTACACCGTAGAGTCTACCGACGTGCTTTTTATGATTGTAGCAATGACACGTGACCAGGTAAATGTACAGTCACACTTAGTGCTAAAGAGTAAAGAATTAAAAGGTGTGAGTAGTACATGACTTTTTACTGTTACGTGCACGTGTCTACACAATCACACAGTCATGACTCATGACTCATGTGCCGGTACAATGACTATGGTCGCACCTCATCATGACAATCATTGTGACTGTAATCTGTAAAGTATTATAATACTAAACTAAAGACTAAAGACTAAAGGACCTTAGAAGAAGGTACTTTTACTAGTACTAGTATGCCAAGCCAAGGCGGCTGCTCACTGGCGTGGGCACTGAGTGGGTTCAAGTGATGACCTCGAGCTAAAATGACAACGCGTGGATATCAACCCCCAACGGCCTAGCCCCACGTAGACCATAGACCTACAAGCCTACATGTAGGTAGCTAGCTAGGATGTGACGACTGACGGCCCGGGCCAAGACTAGCGCAGTAGCGGGCCAAGCTAGCTAGGCTTCGTAGATCTACGTGTAGTTCAGTGCACACGTGTATTAGTATCTGATAAAACCCATGCAAACAGTGTCATTTTTGTTTAGTTCGTTCATACGCCTATCTCTGCAAGGTCAGTCATTTTTGCTGTGAGCGAGACGAACGTCAGTCAGTCGTTGTTGTCGTTATCGGGTGTTCAGTAGTTCACTTTTTCAGTTGCTGTATCTTGCAGACGCTTGCTGTCCAGATGAACAAAATTACCGGTGATCATTCTTGCAAGAAGAACTGAGTGCAGTGTATTTCCAGTCAGTTCAAGAATCACTTTAGCAGTTTCGGCTGTGATCATCGATTCGAATTGACTCTGCGTTTCCTGTTGCCTCGGATATATGATGGCGGTCATGGAAGAAATCAGATCCAGGCTTGCATTCCCCTCAGTCTCCATTCAAACGTCGGCTATTGGTCGTCTAGAAAGTCTTATCAGCGACACAGCTGCGATTGATTCAGCGTCGCAACTCACACCGGAACTGCAGCTTCTCCTGGACAGCTGTGGGCACGAGGATGTGGCTGTTGTGTCAGACTGCTGCGATGTACTGCTGCGACGTGTGCGCTGCGGCCAATGGTCAGCACAGATTGTTACACAGCGGCTGCTTAGTAGTCTCTCCTCTGCCAGATGTACATGGATCATCACTGGCAGCATTTTGAGTCTGTTGGTGGAGTCTAAGGAAAACAATTTCTGGTCGGCACTCAACAGCTCATCCAAGTCCAACAGCGGCCATGGCTCACATCCACTGGTGTCCGCATTCAGGTACTCCCCAAGTGCCAGAGTGGCGGTGGTACATGCACTGCGTCACCTTCTCTCCATGGTACACAGCAGTGCGGCTACTACCCACACGCAGCAGCAAAGACTGTGGAGCATTGCCGAGCCCGTCGTCCACTTCATTCTCTATGACAACGTGGGTTTTGAGTATCGTGAGAGGCTGGTGGAGATTCTGGTCGAGAGCGCTCTTGAGTCCATGCAAGCCGACATGGACTACGTGGTACCGAGTGAAAAGAGTGTAAATGGCGTTCCGTCGCATGAGAACGGTAAGCAGCAGCAGCAGCGTGAAGGAAGCAGCTATGTGTGTTACGTTGTCAAACTGCTCATTGACTGGCTGTGTAGTAGGAATATGTCAAGGTTTGAATCCAGTATGAGCGCTCTGCAATGCTATCGCAGAGTCAGGAAGCTAGTGTGGTTGTCAGTCTTCGCCACCGCAATTGAGGAGTCGTATAAGTTATCCATGTACCACATTGCTGCGGCATGGCTTTTGGACATGGCGGCGGCTAACAATCAACCTCTTGACGTCATGCTGAAGGAGATCGAGTCCATTGATGCATCTGCAACCACTGCCGTTGTGTTTGTTCCAAGTTTGTACGTGGTATTGGCACACCAGCCAACTCTCTTCGCCACCATCGTTCTAAATCTACTATTGAAGTTTCTACCGTTCATGAGCAGTGCCGCCGATCAGTCGCTGGGTGCTTTGCCCTTGTACTGTACTAATATTACTACTACTACTATTACATCATCTACTCCATCGTCATCCGCAGCTGCGTTGCTTTTGGAGTGTCAAACTGCTATACAAAATAGCCTGGTGTTGGCTGGTGGCAGTCATAGCAATACTACTGCAGGTGGTGGCGCTGCTCATAGCCTGAATGGCGCAGACACCACCGCTGCAGAGTCAGTTCAAGTCCCGTTCGTCAGCTCACTGGCACAGTATATCCGCTCTGCAGCCCGCCTGCCGCTCCTGTTTCAACGCGAACCCGAGCTGTGTAAGCTATGGCTTGATCATACGAAGTCAGAGTTAAAGAAGATTAATCCGCAGGCTGCTCTGGACACGCCGTCCCTGTACAAGTTTTCCATGGTAGCAATGGTGGTCAGCTCCGTCCTGGTGTCTGGGTGGTCGTGCAGAGAGCTACGCTTAGCGTCCGTGTTGGCTATGCAGAGCCTGGCAGTGGCGTGCCCTCCGCTGTCACATGACCTGCTGAAGATGCTGTTACACTGTTTCAACGTCAGCACTATGGAAGCGGACGTGCAGCTAGCTATTCTACACGCTCTGCCTGAGATGGTCACACACAACGTCATGCTATCACCAGTGGTTGCCACCATAACAGGGCTGATGGCACAAGCATCACTACAGCCGCTGTCGCTGCGTCTCGTGTGCAAAATTTGGCAGAAGATGGATCGTCTCTTTCCGCAGTTGCTGAAGGTTCTGACGGTGTGCGCCGAACACATGACGTCATCGTCGGAGATGCTGATGTCATGCTCTGCAACAGTTCTTGACATCGCTCAGACGCGGTCATCTCAACACGCTAGTGACGTAATGCCCATCATCCGTAGATTGCTTTCGGCACCAGTGAGATTGGATGTGCGTGGAGAGGTGATCGCAATGGCCACTCGCAGTCTTCACTTGATGATATTGAACGAGGTGGTCGAGTTCAAAGCGGTGTGGACTACATTGGGTCAAGAGCTCAGCATGCAAACCAGGGAGCTGGCACAAGCTGCCGTTTGCAGACTGATGGGGTCCATGGCTGAGTTGCAAGGAGAACAGTTGCCAAGTCGCCAAGACGAGGCACTGTATCATGAGCTCATTTCCAGTTTATTCAGGATGATCTTCTCACAGCCTGCGAGCAGCACCACCGTCATCTCAGCAGCGTACGAGGCGCTGTCCTGCTTTCCCGTGGAGTGTTTCCAAGCGTCAATGCTGCCCCCTGCACACATCCAAGCCTTACTGGACACTGGGCTACTGAAACCTGCCAGCAGCCAAGACGCGGCCGCCGCACATGATTCCACCGTGTCCTCTACACAAGCCCGCAGCAATGGCAGTGGTTGCAAGACGGCATCGAATGGAGCAGCTTCTCCATGGCCTGCTCCTCCGTCACAGGATCAGTTCGGTGCTCAGCCCATTCCAGCCGATGCACTCTCAGCGCTAATGGTCTGCAACGTTGGAGCTACAGACGGTCACGCTAAGTTCCTTGCTCACTTGCTGCAACATGAACTGAAGACACAGTCACGTGGTCCAGCCTCCAATGATCGCTGCCGTCCTACCAACAACAACAACATCAGTACCGTGAAATGTGTTGATGCTCGACTAGTGCGTGTTCTCGGCAACGTGCCGAAATCATTGCTGAAGCTGTACGAATCCTGCAAGTCACCGGCATCGCTACCAAGCCTGGCAGCTGGTTTGCTGTCCTGTCATCAGCCTAGTTCTATAGCGAGTAAGGCCAGTCGTAACGCGACCACCGACCGTCACCTCATCCTGCTGCAGAATCTCCTCTCTCAGATTGCACCGCCTGCTCCCAATGCTGGTACTATGGATATCCTGGGTCTGGCTGAGAAATGGTGTGCATTCCTGCGTCGTCTCTTTGCACACCTGATCCAGGTGAACCACACTGACGAGGAGAGCCTCGTCAACAAGCTTCAGGCATTTTCTGGGGCACGTGACAAGATATTTGATGTGTTACAGAAGGGGTCCAGGCTGGGTACGAACAGTCTCTTCAACAGCACCCTGGCACTGACCCAGTTGTACCGCGTGACTTGTGATTTCTGTAACACTGATCTTCCAGTATCAATCTATCCACGCCTCCGGAGCTGGAAAGCCAAGATGATAGCGACGATGATGAACATGGCGTCGGACAAGGTGATGTGTGCTGGAGGTGTCTTTGCCAACGAGCAGATCTTCAGCTGGGGAACACAGGGACAGGTGAGCAAAGGCAAACACGGTGCCCTCTGCCTGAGTGCACTGTTTCTTGGTGTGACCTCTCTATGCCATACACTGGTGGGAAGAGACTGGCCAGTACTGAAGATGATCACTGATACGCTGTCACAACACTGTGCTAAACTACCTGGCGCTGGCACACACCAAATGATAGCCGCCCTTGACTACGGTGATAATCGTCTCTTGCACCTGGTCCTGCCCTTCTCTATGGGTACACTCTTCTCGGCTATGGTCACAACGCGCGTTTGGGTCGTGGAAGGAGTGCGCGGTATGAAGTTGTTCGAGGAAGCTCGGGAGCAGTATTTATCAGCATTCGCTGCACACAGGGATGGCGCTACGCTTGTTGCCGGCCAAGTTGTCACCGATCTCTTGAAGAACACTCAAAACAAAGAGTTGACGTTCGACAAGGGTCTCACCATCTGCTCCATGCTGTTATCACGTGCCGAAGGTCTTTTCGACGCGGAAAAGTCGAAGACTGAATTGTCAAGATTCGCCAAGGAGGCTTCCCTGTACTCCTGGTCAGTGTGCTACGCATACCTGGTATCGCATGCACTGGACAAGCTCACTGAGAGAGACCAGATGCTGGCCAATACTCTGCTGGTAGCTGATAGTGGTGCCATTACTTCGCCACTGGTGTCCAAGTCACGCATGCTGTGTTTGATGGCACTGTCCTTGCTTGGAGAGAAGACGTCACAGTCCGTGCTATCCAATACATATGACCAGCTGAAAGACACTCTACGTAGTGCTGGTAATCTCTCTGCTGGCAGCGGTCTCCTGCAATCTTGGGAATGTCAAGTTGCCAGTATGCAAGTATTACTTGGAGAGAATCATCTCATGTGGCGAGAAGAGAAAAAACTGCACATCAAAGCATGCCCGGTACCTGCATATGATCTGGTGAAGGGCTTGGACACGGCGAGACACAGCGCCGACACATCTTTCTCATCCATCGCGGTGCAAGCTGTTGGTGAAGTATGGTATCAGCTATACGAAGAGAACTCACTACAGGCCTTGCACAATCCTGATGAAGAGTCCATGGCGGTTCGGTCGAAGTCGAACGTCCAATCTGTTCTGCAACAAATTGTTGCTCAGCTTTCAGCCCTCACAAGTCAAGTAACCATTCCTACTCGTACAGGTGATGGCGTTGTCAACACAATGCTGTGGCCGTGTATTCATACACTGCTACGATCGCTGTGCCAAGCCGTGGAAATCCCACCCACATTCGAATGGTCATCGGTCATGATCAAACTGCTAAGAATGTCGTCCGCTCCTGGAGATGTTCATAGCGAGTGCCTGACAATACTGTTGAAGAGCTACGCTAAAGAATACGACAGCACCATGCTGGTCAACCTGATCACCGACGGAACGTTTCTCAAGTTTTCTCTGGATAATCAGAAGCTTCTCCTGTCCAGGCTATACAGCGGGAAGTTACCGAGTGTAGAATTAAAGTGCCTGTGTGCATCGCTCGGAGAGTTATTTGCTGACAGGGAGAAACACCAGTGTGCGGCCTTCCTGCCCGAGGCCATCGCGAACGTCTGGAGCTCGTGTCGCGATCACACCGACCACGGCGAGATCGTCTGGGAAGATCTTCTCTGTCCTGTGGTGACGCAATGGATCAACTCTAACGAGAGCAAGGTTAGTGCTGTGAAGTTTGTGTATTGTTGCATGTCAGTTGTGAATGATTAGGTTACATGAAGGTTAACACTCCGGTGTTAAATAGACTACTACTAGTACAAGTAGTTCTGTATTACAATGATGTTATTAATTTGTGTTGTATTACGCATACTCTTAGTCTTACTTTGTAGCTGATTGCAGGAGTGTGTAACAGTTAGCCAAACTCTCCGCCTAGTTCTAGTTCCCTAGCTTCTGTAAGGATTCTCAATTTCTCATCACAAACCCCATTCTAGCTTCGAAGGGAATTCTATTCCAGTGCATTATTTTGTTCTCAAACAAATTCGTTGTAGTATTTGCAGTAGTCATGCGCTCTATTATTTGTTTGTCTCGTACGTGACTTTCCTTTCTCTCCTTCTCAAGGCTGCCGGATGGGACAGAGCATGTAGTGGCAGTTGAGTAACACAGTAAACAAACAAACGAGTTGTAGATTTTTTAAAGAGAGAGAGAGAGAGATAGAGAGAGAGAGAGAGAGAGAGAGAGAGAGAGAGAGAGAGAATATTTACAACGGCTTGGAATGTGGAAATTGGGTGTGCACCACCACTGGTTGTTACTTTGATTGTCACAGCACAAATCACTCCACTAACGTCACTGCAGCCGTCACATACATGTACGTGATGTGTTGCTAGACCTAGTCATTAGATGCTCATGCATAATTTCTGCAAGTGTCTCCTCTCCCATACACCGACGGCTGTATGCACAAGCTCTCCATTATGGGGGGGGGGGGGGGCAATAGATGATGTTTGGACAACTAATGACGTAATACGTCTCTTCTGGCTACGTGCACACGCGCATGTGTGTGTGTGTGTGTGTGTGTGTGTGTGTGTGTATGTGTGTGTGTGTGTGTGTGTGTGTTTGTGTGTTTGTGTGTGTGTGTGTGTGTGTATGTGTGGGTGTGTTCTCTATGCAATTCTCAGGTTCTCTCTGATCTGATCTACTTGTCACCAAGCCTGATGAGGGCATACAGCCAGGAGGCCGCCAGGAAAGCCAATCATCACCAGTCTGAGGTGTTGACGTTGCGCATGTTTGCGTTCAGAATGCTTGAAGCCATGCACTCAGACAATGGCGTTGGACCGTTGCTCATGGCGGTGGAAACTGTAGTGGATAACTGCCCGGATGATCAAATAGTGGACATGATCATGTTGCTAAGCAGCCTAGCGTGTCACAGGCAAACATCCGCATTCTCTACTTCGCTACTGCAAGTGTTGGAACGCTTGAGCTCTTCAAAGCGATCGACAACACATTTGATTGCTGATATGATCATCTCCTGCTGCTCATCTCTCCTTCAAGCTGTCAACAGCGGTGTCACTATCACCGCCACCCTCACCTCTAGCGGCAGTAGCAGCAGTGGCAAGACTTCATCACCAGCATCTAATCTGCACCCTGACCACCCTGACCACCAGCAGCAGCAGCCCCCTCTGGATAGCTTACTCCACAACATGTTACTAGCGTCCGGTGGTGACAAGCAATTTCTTCTATCCGCATCTAGACTAGACCAGCATGCCACAAGGTTCTGGCTCGCCGATTGGTTTATGCGCACTGGCTGTGAATGTCTGCCCAGTTCACTGACATCACTGGCTGCTGTTCCGGCCATGTCTGTGTTTCTGAAGGCGCTTGGCCATGTGCTCGGTGCACTGGAGACAGCGGTTAGCGAGCTCAACCGTGATGCTATTTGTCTTTCCAGTCTCCGTGATTGTCGCAGAGTACTTGCTGCAAACATGCCGTCCAATGCTTGAACTATTTGTTTTTACACGCCTGAGCGGAGCGAAAGAGTGCAAAAAACGTATTTTTTACTCACAGATATTTTCATGTGTTTGCTCTTGTTATACGCAACTCCGTTGAACCTGCCATCGTGGTCTTTGTTTTTCCTCGTGGTAGTTGAAGTTGCCCACCCACCCACCCTGGTGTTATGGGGGTCTTCCGCTGTTCTTCTTGATATTCTATGCCGATGTGTGTGGCTTATGATTATGACATACACCGGTTATTACATACAATTTCTTGTTGTCTCTATTCTTGGGTCTGACTGGCAGCGGGGCAGGAATTAATAAATTAGAAAGGTTTTTTTGGCCGAAAGGCGTGTTTTTCCTCTAGCCCGGTTGAGCGGTCGCGGCTAGGAATGTAGGGAGTCATTGTTTTCAGGCGCTCCCCTGCTGCCCAGTCACCCATGCCGTTTTCACTTGATTTTGCGATCTTTTCTGAGTTTTCTCCCGCTTGCTGGCGGTTCGTTGATTGATGATTTAGATGTTTTGGGCTATTTATCTATTATGTGGCTGCGAGTGTGGTTTTTGCTTCTACTCATTTCTGGAAAACCACTACGGTGGTGAGTGTGATTGCTCTGGTAGACCACTACCCCACGTACTGAACAGTTGCTTTGTGAGTGAAAAAGACAGATTCTCAATATCACCAGTATGAAGAAAGAAGATGAGCGACAGAAAGCTGCCAGCATGCCCATACATATTTAATAATCAAGAGATTATATTCACGAAGCACAGATATAGACCTGCGGATTGTTCTGCTATTACCAGTCAGTCATCACTTTGTCATAATAGTATTTTGATTAGGCCATGGTAAAACAAATAAAGTTGATTCTCAGGTCATGAGCCTGTGAAAATCGGTGCGAGCGAGCGATTTTATATTTTATTTCCCACAATTTTTTTATTTCCAAAGATAGGGTCACACCAAGAGTCCATAAACTGTTTATGCACTCTTGGTCACACATATGTACATGGTCATAATTATTCAGGCCAGGGAGTTGAAAAATACCGGTACTAGTATTCTCCTCGATTCATTCCTTTCGGATTGACCGTTTTCATGCGCGCATTTGCATAGAATTAAAAAAAACTCGTCGGTACGCCGCCAAAAATCGGTGCCCGCGTACTTGAGAAATCAAAGATAATTTTTACCATGGCCTTAGCAACGGTTGTTAGCACCCGCTAGGTGTATGTTCGCTCATTTTCAAAATTTTATCATTTCTTCCTTACAAATCACGTGATTGTACCTTTCAGTGACTGTCACTAAGTTGTTGCTCCTTGGTTGTTCTATAAAAGTTCATTCGTGTTGCATTGTTCATTAACCCATTACTGGCATTAGCTTAACGGTACAACAACGATTCCTTGAGTAGGCTGAGGAAGATTGTGCCTGAAGAGCACCACTTATATTATACTGCTCTCCAGGCACAAACATCACCAGGGATACAAACTTCAAGAGACGCTCCGTTGACTGACTCAACTGATGAGGGGTGAATTCCCCGAAACACTGTGTATTGAGCGGGGAGTGGTGCTTTCTTGCAGCCTGCAGGTTTGCCGAGTGGACGGTTCGATGGACTTCTTCCTACTAGTACTATCGCCGAAGTCGCACCAACCTCTTTTTCACATTTTTACCGGTATTTATTCATATTTCAATAGGGCAGTCCCCACCGACTCAAGGTCTTCTTACGGGGTACCCTAAGAATGAAAGTAATGCAGGGCGAAATAGGGATGATGCAGCAGTGCGGATATCAGATGGAGCGCTATTCCATCTGTCTGCAGCCAAATAAGCAAGAGAAAACAGACGGTAGCGTGAATGGTTACTGCCAAGAGGACATAACCCCCACCCCCTGGGGTTATGTCCTCTTGTTACTACGAAGCAGGGATTGGCCAAATGCTAGCAACGACTTGGCAACAGGCACGTGTCTTGATGCCATGTTTGGGGTTCGCAGCTCAGGATTCAGTTTTGACTTTTCTCATACTTCAGTACTCTCCGGCGCACTCAGAAGAACTACGATGGAAGAGCGCAGAAGAAGCTATCTCCTCACTCGTTAAAACAAAATGCCGTCACGATTTATTGAAAGAAGTGGTATAGTTGGTGGTAAGAGTGTTCAAAACCATTTGAACTTCAACCTGTTCGTCTTGTTGTTGACATGCTCTCTTTCCATCGTCTTTAGCTTTTGTTTGTTGTGAGCTGTTTTGGCTTTCTCCTATACCTCAGAGGCTCTGGGGGATGCCAAGTGATGTTTTTGAGAGGCTGGTGATGGCTGTGAGCGAGAGTTTTGCCGATCCGCGTCGTCCTCGCTATAGCGATGAAAATACTAGTTACTGCGCACCTGGCAGACATCACAACCCGTCGGAGCGTCCAGGAGCAAAGGAATCTTGGGTTTTCACTGGAACCTAGTTCCTCCAGCATCGTGTAGCCCGCCGTCGGTGAATGGCCCTCCAGAAAGGTTGAACCTGGTCTTCTGCAGCATCTCGCAGTCCTGCGAGGCACACCGTGTACGCCTGCTATGTATTGTACAAATCAGGGAGTAGTAAAATACAGGGAGGTGACACGCCACTAATCGTGATTTTTGATGGGTACCTCGCGCTTGTTTTTTTTTCTTTCGCAAAAAAAGATGATCTGCTGAATCAATGTGGAAGAGAAAAAGACATATGGATACGAGTTAAGAGTAACTCTCCATCACTGTAACATGATACTATATACAGTCAGAAAGTGCAATAACTAGGCACAAAACTGACAGAGTACTGAAACATTCGACGTCCTGACACCTAGCTTTAACACATCTCCGTAGCACTAACCGACAGCCTTCCAACTTGGAAGGTTCAAGGTTATGGAAAAGACCAAAGAGGGGAAGGCAAGCGCAACGAAAACGAGCAAAAGCCACAGTCCCAACGGAACAAAGAATGTCGATTGTTACTGGACGATGACGAGACCAGTACGATATTTGACAAAGCGGTCTAACTACAATTCGAAGCAGCAAAGCAGCACACCACCCAACTTGGGTGGGTCATAAATATCAAAGATAAGTAAAGAAAGGGAAGCTTTGCGAAAACGAATTGTACAAGCATGTTACAGTGATGGAGAGTTACTCTTAACTCGTATCCATATGTCTTTTTCTCTTCCACATTTATTTATGGCTCAACATCCGAGTTTCAAATTGCTGAATCAATCTTGAGTATTTGTCGAAGAACTAATTCCGAGAAAAGCTCTATCCATCCTATGGAACAGCATTTGTTTTGCTCTTGTGATACATCTGTGTCATCATCATATGGAAAGGTATCACCTTTCCGAAATTCGTCCCGATCGACGGCATGGAGCAATAGAACGAAGGTGATTTCCTTGAGAACAATACGTGTACGATTGGAGATGAAAAGCGAGTGCACCGATTTCGAAGTCGAAAAAATCTCTAGGACACCACACGATCGGCACTAATTTCTCCTCAGTTGTGATCAACCAGTACTTCTCTACCTTCTTTGTGATGATGAGCATTTCATATTATGGTATGCTAGAGATTCGGGTGTTCACTTTTCGGAATAAAATGTTCCTAAGTATGTCAAGGATTGAAATGCGGGCTACGTCGTCGTAAACAGCTTGTATCGACACAGGAAAAATCTACGGCACGCAGGGATATCTCCCAAAGTGATACCACTCTTGCTGGACTTCTATCCTGACATAGTGGTAGTTTGGTCGAGTACCAAACTTTGTAAAGGCAAACAATTGTTGGAAATTCTCAGCGCTGAATTTCTACGGGCTGCAGTAGGAGTCTCTTTGGCGGTAGGTATTTTACTACTCCCTGATCGAGAGAATCCTGATCCGCGCGCGTGTCACACACTTCGGTACGCATAGTACCCCAATCTCACCCGCCGGGTGAAAACGGTGCTGAGGCAATCGTCAAACTGGCCGTACATGCTCGTGTCACCTCCCTGTATTTTACTACTCCCTGGTACAAATATAACTCATGCAGTAGTGGACTCTACAGTGATAGGTCTCAGCCTGTATGCTGCAAAAGACACAGGAAATGTGACTGGTGTCTGTACACTGGACGCCAACACCCCAGTCTTCTCCTGCACGATATTGACGCCATCTTGTTTTATCACGCATACGGTCCACTACCCTACCGGTATCACCTTTTGCAGGTAGATCTACCCTTCTGGCGCCATTACATGGCCTTGCCTAGCGCCTGAATCGGCCTGATCCTTCACTGGGCTCACTGTTTCCGAACACAGTATCCTCCACCTTGTTTCATGCTGTCAATCTAACAATATGTGTGAACTATACCAAGGTTTATCTAATACTAGTTTTTGAACTAGTATTGGGTTATATAATACCAATCCCTGACACTGCATTACAAGCGGTGAATTCAAGTACTGCTTTGAGCCGAAGTCTGACTTTGGGGCTCATAATATGGCCGAATTTGGACATTCTCTTAGCCGATCGCAAAGCCGATTAGGTGAAAAAATCGGGCCGATTTGGGAAATGCCTTCTCGGTGCACACATTTCTTTAGCCTGCTCAAGTTAGTTAGTTGAACTAATGAGGGGTGAGTTCTAGAAGACACTGTGTATCGATCAGGGAGTCCGGAGTGGTGCTTTCTTGCAGGTTTGCTAAGTGGAAGGCTGGATGGACTTCTGGAGTGCTCTCAGGGGTGGCTGTCGTCAGTCAGTCAAGTGTCAAGTCGGCAGGAAAATTCGCGAGCTCCCATGTAGGGAGCGACACGCAATTCTTCAAAATATTGTCTGTCCTTATACCCGCTCAGGATGGAAACACTCCTTCGCAGAACCCAACTATTTCCACAAAGGATGCAAATCATACTTCGAAGTACAAGACACATTAGCGGACCAGTCTAAAGCAATTTCATTAAAGGTCAGCTACAGCTAGCATGGCTGCAGCTGCAAGCCAAGTGTCGCTACTACCAGCATCAGGAAACAGCACCAGTGTGACTTTGCTATTGCCTCAGTGTGTGGGTGCATAGCAAACCACGCATGTCGTACGCAGGTGTGACTTTTTCTTCGCCACCAGTTGTCACCCCGCCCCCATTAGCCAATCCAGTCAGTTTCACTGGCTACATCACCTTGCTGTGAGTAAGATCGCTTGAAATGTGCTTGTATTCATACAAAAACTGGATCCAAGTGGATCCAGTTTTTGAATTTTTCAAATTAATTGTTGCTATGCTGTGACGTAGCACTTTCAAGCCCTATTATAAGCGACTAATAGTGGTCTCCGTGGAAACTGATGTCAGAGATGATCTGTGCTACACTCTACAACCAAGAGTATAACCCCCCCCCCCCCCCAGGGGGTTATACACTCTTACTACAACTACAAGTACAACTTTAGTATAATAATATAACCCAATACACGTTCAGAACTAGTGTTAGATAAACCTTGTTATAGTTCACGCATATTGTTAGATTGACAGCATGAAACAAGGTGGAGGACACAGTCACTGTGTTCGGAAACAGTGACCTTCCTACAACCTTCCGCGGTTGGCAGAGCCCCGGTCCCACCGCGGAAGGTTGCAGTAAGGTCACTGTTTTCGAACACAGTGTCCTCCACCTTGTTTCATGCTGTCAATCTAACAATTGCGTCATGTACAACCTTACACCAGTTACAGGTCATCAGTGTGACATCAGTTTTCACGGAGACCGCTAGTAAGTAGAGAGGTTTTGCAGAGCGAACGTTCGCGCGAATTTTCGTTTGACGTCACGAAAAGCGAAACTTCGTGCGAACGTTCGCAGTTTTGAACGCGAAAGTTGCAGGAAACGCGAAACAAACTTTCCAAGTAATTTTCGCTCTTTGTGGACCGCTGGTCAGCCTGGTGCACGGTGAGCGAC